ATCATAAATGTAATATCTATTAGTGGAAAATATTTATTATAAATAAAGCAATATTGAGGCTTTGAAAAAGGTATCAACTGATCAATACAAAAATCTAGCTAGTCAATAAATTGTTCCTTGTTTATTATTAATGAAATTTGTACATTTAATTGATTAAAATAATAACTTATTAAAATACTTGTATTTATTGCGCACTATTGGACAACTGTCAAAGTTGCTATAAAATATCAGTACTGTATTGCTATAGGACTATTATACACTAAGTAGATATAATATTTATTAGTAATAGTGAGAGCCTATTTATGAGATAGAAGAAAATGCACTGCGTGATGATTCCAGAGTATATTTATTATAACGAGATTGAGTAACTGTAAAATTTCCATCATCAGACGTTGGTTGAACATCCATGTCACGATAATATCTATCAGGAGTCTAATTATAACAACATATATATTATAAAAATTATTTAATGATGATAATAATTATAAAAAAAATGTAATTATATGAAGATTTTTTTATTAATGAAAAAATTTGAAAAAGTCAAATTGTGGGACTATAAAAAGATGAGTGTAACTGTATTTTTTATTTTTGTTCAACTATAATATTAAAATTTTTTGAGTTTTTTCAACTTGTGATTTGATGATCATCATTAAATATAGTTTCAGTAATTAATTTTGTTTTTATTCTGAATAGGTGAATCCATTTACTTCAATTTTTTTATATACTTAAAAAAAGTGCTTGAATAAAATCAACATCTTCATTTGGTCTCTAATACCTTCTTTTCAAAATTATTAATTTATCAGTTTTTCTGGAATTGGCGATACATGGATCTTTGCATAAACAATGGCACGACGATAATTATTAAGACGTTCAAAGTTAACACTATTTTTTGATACATCAATTGAGCAGAGCGATACGAGATGCGACAAGAGAGCCAATAAAAAAAAAATAACAAATCTGCAAAAGTTACAGTATCTTTGTATGTATGTGTATTTTGTGTGTGAACGTATGTGTATTTTGTATGTGAACGTATGTGTATTTTGTATGTAAACGTGTATTTTGTATGTATATGTATTCTATAAAAAGTCCGTTTTGGGTGATGTACCACTAGAAAAATAAAAATGTCTCAATGACGTTGTCGACACAAAGAATTACATAGTTTTCTAGAAAAAAAAAAAACGCGTACGAAATTCCCGATTTTTCAGGCGGTTTGTTTTTTTATTTTGGAAGCTATTATATCAACCAATGACGACGGTTTTCTAAAAGCAGACCAAAAGGATCTATTTGCTTTTATATTGTTCTCAAGTATCCCAATTCCACTCTCGTCACTTGTTAATTCGCCAGTTTCTTCGAGCTTCTCTTCTTCATCGGGGATCTTTATCGCGTCTTGTTTCGGTCCATTCAATAGGATATCATATATTTGTACGCCTAGACCAAGTGCTCCTCCCACGAATCCAACAGTTGTCAGCACAATCAGCGTGTCCGCGTCTAGAATGTATCGGTAGTTTGATGCTGGAGTGTACCCCCAAAACAATTTAAACGCCGCCAATAGTCCAGACCGAACAAACACGTCAACACCGAGAATTATTTGATAGCATCCGGTCATGGCTGTTGCAAACACGCATACATATGGGTAAAATTTATTGTATGCTGCTGGGATGGCCAGTAATAGAGTAAAAATTGCCATGAAAATGTAACGTATTGCTTGCTTTACGATTAGTCCGTCTGTTCGAAGTGATAATAGGATCATTGCCAGCGATAATCCACCTAGACCACCAACTAATACTCGTCCTGTTGGCCACATGCATACGAAAAATGCTCCAGCTACTAATCCTGCTCCCACACATGATACATAGTAAATTGCTCGAACTCCTTCCGAAGGATTTGAAACATTTTGATATTTGAGAATAAAAAAAAGAATTAACAATCCTATAAAAAGTAAAAATTGAAATTTAGCTTAGATTATAACCAAATTAATTTTAAGTTATTAATTACCAGTTGAATAAAATCCACCCAGAAATATTGTTGTCCATTTGAATTTTTGACCCCTAAATAAATTTACTAGTCCAGTTCCTATTAAAGTTATTGCCATAAAAAAACTTGCAGGGTCCAAAGGATATTCATTATCTCGGTCTAAAAATTCAATTTAGCATTAATCAAAGCTCTTTATCAAGACATTTTAAAAACATGCATTCATACTTGGTGATTGAATTTCGGTTGCATTTTTAGGGGTTGGATTTGTGGAATTTGTGAAATTTCCTCCTCCTCCTGTAATTGTTTCATTTGTAGCATTTCTTGGTGTTTCTGTTGTTACATTAGTAGCTGTGGACGATGTATTATAAGTGGTAGAATTTATTGCTCCTGATGTCGTAGCTGCTGTTGGTATGGTCGTAATAGAAACCGTTGTTGGACTTGTTGGATTTGGATTTGCTTTTGCTGTGCTACTAGAGTTAAATTGCGCATGCGCAGTTTGCACGATGATGAAAAGTAGTAAAAATAATATTGTAATGACAACATTATTATTACAACAATTTTTATGACTATTTTTTATTATTATGCGACTCATTATACTTTTTCTTTTGGGTTCTATCAATTAATTCGATTTTTTTAAAAAAATAATAATAGTTAATAATAAATAATATACTATTACTAAAATATACGATAATTATACGATATAATAATAACAAGAATATAATACAGGAAACAAATCCTTCAAATAGTGAAGTAAGAGATTTAAAAACGAGCACGATAACGAAAAGTAAAGGACTCGTAAAAAAGGTCAACAGGCAGTCAACATTTTTTATTCATTTGTATGAATAATGTAGTGTAACTTATTTTCAATTATACATTAATCATTATATATGCTTTTGTTATAACGCCAATTTGATTAATAAACATTACGGTAACGAAGAAAAAATATTCTCCCTTTTGATCATTTTACTACATTATAATTCTAACCGTTTTCAAATATCTATTACCAAAAAAATGAGTTTGATCGTTATTGTGATTTCCACAATTGTTTGTTTTATTAATAAACAAGCTTTTTTGTTTGTCTTCAAATCGAGAATATATTATTATGGGTAGTATTTGTGGGTATCTTTTTTGCTGTTTATCATTGTACCACGAAACACAACATCAAAAATCCCTTAAATAGTCAATTAAGATATGCATGCATGATCCTTAAACTTGGACAGTACACAACATGTACTGAAACAAGATGATAGCATACATTCATTGGATCGCGTGTTTGGCAGTGTGGTCATTTAAGATTCGAGGAAGCTTTGTCGTGTTATATAACGATAAGCTCAATTAGGTGTCTAACTTGACCTGTCATTAATTGGTTATAAATGGGAGTTTGTGACCATGCCAGCGTGAATAATATTATATCATACATGTATCATTGGCGTGTGAGATATTCATTCTATGTAGATCAAATCAATAAAAATCAATAAAATTATATACTTATAATTTTTCAAACTAGTACAAAAGTAGTTTAATGTTTAACAAAAAAATTTTTCTCAAAAATTAGTATTATAGAGGTATAATTTTAAGATTTCATATAAACTTTATCATAGATTTGATCTATATCGATATAGAATATCTTGTATCATACATAGACGTATAATCGATATTTCACATGATTTTCTATTTCATGACGCAGATTTCAGAAGTGCTAATCTACAGTCATAACGAATAATTAGTTATGTTCTTGGGTTGTTATAACGAAGCATATCGAGAAGTGAAGACCAAGAAAAATGGCAGATCATGTGATTCCGATCCTGATGCCGACCATCCGATCTACCCCTTAAAATTATGCACAAATCAAAAATAGCTTGTATCTTAAAATTTTGCCTATGAAATTATCTTTTGTGCATTAATAAAAAATGTTCCTTGCGAAATTTTACTATATAACGCACTCCCGCCTACTATACAATAACCTTAACTCTAAACCTAACCCTACCCTAACCGAAATTCTATTTAATATTATGCATTATAATTTAAGGGGGTAGATCGGAATAACATGATCTGCCATTTTTCTTGGTCTTTGTTACTATATCGAGATATGGTAACGTAAAAGTTCACCGTTACTGATCCAATGAAACTGTTAGCTAAGATAGATCTGATTTATCAGTGACTCATCTCCCGTTAAAAATATCAAAAATATAAAGTTGTAATCTAATAAATCACAGTAAAAATTGAGATGTCAACTAAACTTCGAACTGTATTTCAAACATGTCAGGCTTCAAGTAAGATAATAAAATTTTAAGAGAAAGAAAAAGAGGGGAGGATAATAAAAGTCGTCATTTATTTATCAATTTATACAATATTTTTGCTTTTAACTTTTGAATTCAGAGCGACCAGTGTTTGTTGCGTTTATAACAGCCGGTTATCCAGAACCGGAAGAAACTGTAGACATTCTTTTGGCTCTTGAAAGAGGTGGAGTAGACATTATAGAGCTCGGTTTGTATTTTAACTAAAAATAATTTTAATTTTAGCTAATAAAAAAGGGAGGAACTTCAAATTTATAGTTTCATATCAATTAGGCATTCCATTTACCGATCCGCTCGCCGACGGCCCAACAATTCAAGAAAGCAGTCAGGTTAGCAAATTTTCTCCTAATTTCTTACTTAAATCATTGCTAACCTAAGGATCGGTGTTTTAAAAAATTAGATTGCGCTTCAACATAAAGTTGACATACCATTATGTTTATCTTTTGTTTCACAAGCACGTGAACGTGGATTAAAAATTCCCGTGATTTTTATGGGTTACTATAATCCGATTTTGAGTTATGGAGAGGAAAAAATTGTAAAAGATTGCAAAGATGTGGGAATTCAAGGGTTTATTGTGGTCGATCTTCCACCTGAAGAATCCGATCACTTTCGAAGCATCTGTGCGCGACATGGGTAAAAACGATATCACCTATAATTATATAATTTTTTTATTATATTCTAATTAATATAATTAATATCATATAAAAATTAATTTATCGTAATTTAGATCAAGTTATGTTCCTTTGATTGCACCTTCTACAACAGAAGTTCGAATTCGTCACTTGTCACACGTTGCCGATTCTTTTATCTATGTTGTATCAAGAATGGGAGTCACTGGCTCAAGAGATAAGATAAACTCCGAATTACCAAGTCTACTTGCTAAAATTCGAAAATATACAAATTTACCGCTTGCTGTTGGCTTCGGTGTTTCCAACAGAGAACATTTTGAATTAGTTGGATCTCACGCTGATGGTGTTGTGATTGGAAGCAAATTTATTTCTGTATTAAAAGAATCGGGTTAATGTTCTATTTACAGTTTTTTTCTATTATTATGATTAAATAGTTAGTTATTGATATACTTTGCATTATAGAGAAAGGAAAAAGAGCCAAAGCGATTCTTGATTATACTTTGGAAATTTCTACAGGATCCAAAATTTATGATAATATCAAAGGTAAAAACAATTCAAAATAGTTATCTAAAAGTGATATAAAAAATTAATTTAATTTTTTTACATTTAGTCATCTCAAATGGAAGTCACACTGCCTCCAACAATGCTAATGTCTTGGCAGCTCAAGAAAGCGAAGAAGATGCCAAAGTAAAATGAATTCATTTCATTGCTCACGAATATAAAATAAAGACAATTAACATTCTTGGCTAAATAGGCCGCCGCTATTCATATTTTGGATGCAAGATTCGGTCAATTTGGTGGGCAATACGTTCCAGAATCACTAGTTGATTGCTTGGTTGAACTAGAAAAAGTTAGTGTTTTGCAATACAAAATAATACTCTTTATATTATTATTATTATTCTTATTCTTATTATTATTATTATTATTCTTTTTTTAGGCGTATATAGATACTAAAGATGATCCAGAATTTTGGAAGGAATTCAAATCCTATTATGATTACATGGGTAGAGAATCTCAGTTGCAATACGCAGATCGATTGACTGCACATGCAGGTGGTGCGAGGATTTGGCTAAAACGTGAGGATTTAAATCACACTGGTTCACACAAAATTAATAACGCTATTGGTCAGGTATTTAAATGATAGTTTTATTCTTAATTAATTAATATTCCATTATAATCTTTTTTTTTTTGATAGGTTTTATTAGCTAAACGTCTTGGAAAGAAAAGAATTATCGCAGAAACAGGAGCTGGACAACATGGTGTCGCAACTGCAACTGTTTGTGCTAAATTTAATTTGGAGTGCGTCGTTTATATGGGAAGTGAAGATGTTCGTCGGCAAGCTCTAAATGTTTTTCGAATGAAATTAATGGGTGCCACTGTAGTTTCTGTTGATTCAGGTTTGAGATTAATTGGTGTTTGATTATTCGGAGTTATAATATATCGAGCTTATTAATTGAAGATAAATATGATTACAGGAAGCAAAACATTAAAAGATGCTATTAATGAGGCAATGCGTGACTGGGTGACTAATGTTGCTACTACACATTATCTGGTTGGTTCAGCAATAGGGCCACACCCTTTTCCTCAAATAGTTCGTGAATTTCAATCAGTTATTGGGAAAGAGGCTCGCGATCAAATGCTAAAGAAAGCTGGTAAATTACCTGATCTAATAATTGCATGCGTTGGGGGCGGAAGTAATTCTATTGGGTTATTTTCTTCCTTTGTTTCCGATAAAAATGTTAAAATAGTTGGAGTAGAAGCGGCCGGTGAAGGTAATCCTTTCTATGCATAATAAATACTATTATTATAATTATATATATATTAAATTATCTATATTTTTTCAGGTGTGAATACAAATAAACATTCAGCGACCTTGGTGGCAGGCACTCCCGGGGTGTTACACGGAACACGAACATATTTGCTGCAAGATTCTAAAGGTCAAATTTTAGAGACGCATAGCATTAGTGCTGGTTTAGATTACCCAGGGGTTGGACCAGAGCATGCATTTTTGAAAGATATTGGTCGTGTTGAATATGTCGCAGTCACCGATGCTCAGGCTTTAATTGGATTCCGAAAAATGTCTGAATTAGAAGGAATCATTCCAGGTAAGAAAGATAATTGACAATTGATTAATTATTGTTGAAAGTTGCTAACTTATTTTTTGAAACAAAGCACTTGAAACCAGCCATGCGATTTATACAACCATCGAACTTGCAAAACAAATGAAGCCCGATCAAGACATATTGTTAAATGTTAGTGGAAGAGGTGATAAAGATGTGGAATCGGTTGCAGAAAATTTGCCTAAGCTTGGACCACAAATTGGTTGGGATTTAAGATTTTGAATTATAAATCATCACCTAAAATTAGTCTTTACAATGTAAATAATAGTTGTAACGAAATGTCTAATACCTAAATAATTTTTGTACATGTGATACATGTATTCGTATATTTTTTTTGATGGTATTTCTTTGACAATATTCTGTAATGATGGATCTCTTGCCAGCGCCAACAAATGTTACTCTTTACGCACTCGCAGTGTCATACTCTTATACGTTTCTTCTTTTAATCTCTGTTGAACTTTATCAACGTAGCACCGGAACCTCCGTCAATCTAACTCGTAAGATTATTCATTTGGGAGCTGGCACTTACATACTGGTGACACTTTACTTATTTGAGCAATGGCAGTGGGTTGTTTTCTTGACGGGATCTTTCGTCGTGTTAAATGCTATATTTCGGTACATAAAGCTTTTTAAATCAATGGGTAAATAATCTACATGAACTATTAAAACCTTTGTTTATTTATTATGAAGAAAAATACACCTAAGTATTATTTAATTGAATTCACGAAAAAGATCCTCAACAAGGAGCGACATCTGGAACTGTCTTCTTTGCTTTTTCATGTGCATTTCTTGTAAGATAATTAATTAATTGTGTTGGAGTTTTTGGCGTGGTTTCTAGAAATAAACTTATTTATATATATCGATATGTAACGAAAATCTATCAGCTTGGCTGGTTTCATCAGGGTTGGGAAGAGGGCTTTCCACGTGGACGTGAATATCTCGCGATAGGTAATTTTATATATCCGATTAATTAATTAATTACATAAAATAAATTTGTGTTGATAAAATTTTTTTGATGATTAAGCGGGTATAATGTCCATGACCTATGGCGATGCTTTCGCGGCCATAATTGGAAAACGATATGGCAGACATGAATACCAAGTTATTGGCGATGGAGATAGTAGACGTACTCTTGAAGGATCCCAAGCGAATTTCCTTTTTTCTTTTCTGGCAGTCTCAATAACTTGGATGATAATGTCACCTCCTGAACTTAGCAACTATTGGGATCTTATTTACGGTTCAGTAATTTCTGCCGTATTAAGTACTGCTTTAGAAGCAATTAGTCCAAGAGGTACTGATAACTTGCTCGTACCAATTGGTGTAAGTTTTACATTATCATGGCTTGGATACTAGAAAAAATAGGTTTACCGGTTTATGTGGTAGATATTCTTTATTATAGTGTATTTTTTATGCTCGCTACTTGGATTTCGAGTTGTGTCTTTATTTGTTTATGCAATAAAACAAGATCTAAGAATAATAAATAATTGATAGGAAAAGAAACGACGAAAACTATACATTATAGTCTTCCTCGTCAGAATCATAGTCATTACGCCGATTATACTAAAAGATTTGTTTTAGTAAATTATTTAAATATTATTTCAATTGGCATATTAATTATCTCGATCACTTACAACTATTTTTGTCTCTGGCTTTTTTTGTTGATTAATCTGTTCTAAAAGATCTATCAATTGTGATTCACCCACTTTTCCGAGTAATTGCCCTGTTTGTGCCATACGGATTAAAAGATCCTCAATTGTTCTTGCTTTGTCTTCTTTTACCATGGAAATTCTTGCAACTGAAATGAAATGCTTCAATTCATCATCATCCTCATAATAATAATAATAATAATAATAATAATAATAATAATAATAATAATAATAATAATAATAATAATAATAATAATA